CCACCTGTTGGTACACGATGGTCCACCAAAGCCAAAGTAAATCCCCTACCCACCCTCAACCACCACCTCTCGCTCACCTCGCCTCGCCGCTGGTAAGCGCTGTGAGCGAAGTCGCCAGTGGAACTAGATTCTTGAGTCTAGATCTAGATCTAATCTACCTTTGTCCGCACTTAGAGAACTATGAGAGCGAGTTAGGCTAGTCAGCGTGCATTTATAGTTTAGTATAGTAGAATCTAATCACGGGCCCAGACGGGTGGTCCGGTAAAGTACAATCTAGATCTAATCTAGATCTAGATCTAGATCTAGATTAAAGCTAGCCTTCTAGATCTAGAATCTAGAATATATTTTCTAAGGTAAAGTTCAACAATTACAAAGCCAAGCCAGTTCGGTTTTTATTTGGGCTTTGGGGGAACGGACCGTTGGGGGAATGTGTCTGTGGGGGGGGGGGGGGGGGGGCTTGTTCATTAACATTTAAATGGTCATATTTAAAACACAGTTCTGGAAACAACAATACAATACCTGTCAGATATTCTGTCAGTGATAATCCTTACACAATCAAGAAATGGGTGAGTAATATTTAAAAATGTTGCCTCAGTCCCCGCAAACACAACACCATCACAGTATTCCCATCTCGTCTGCGATTTGTGTGATTGAGATGACTCACCAACACTACACTCCCCACACAGAAGAGTAGATTTTTAACTTCGTACAGTTCCCAACTTTGCCTAATTTTATAACCTCAGTCGATGATAATTAATTAATTTTCATTATTCAATTTTATCAATAATTTGATTTTGCCATTTTCGAGATCAAGTTTTCTTGGATTTTTCTTCATTTTTGTATTAACATTATAACCCCTCTCTCAAATCAGCAAACTGTTAGTGATCAGTGTCTATTATTCGTAATAAATGGCGTCGGTAGCCTAGTGGTTAGGCTCTCGGACTCGCAACCGTAAGGTCGTGGGTTCGAATCCTGTCAGGGACCCGACGTTGTGTCCTTGGGAAAGGCACTTTACACGAATTTTCCTCACTTCACCCAGGTGGGAATGGGTACCCGGCTATAGACAGCGAAAGATCTTGTCAGTTTGTTAGTGTTTGAGCGCTTAATCGGCTGCTTGCACTGTATGCTTCCCGCGAAGCTGAGAATGTTTCGGAGTGTTCTATGGTCTGCTGGGGTAATAATATAGTGTAAAGCGCATAGAGCCTGCTGTTGAGCGGGGATATGCGCTATAAAAATGCTATCTATTATTATTATTAAATGTG